CCATTCCTGTTCACTAACTCACCCTTTCTAAGCTGTGATAACGTCGCGGTAATTTTGTATCATTGATTTTCTCGTTGATACATAATTTTGTACACATTTATTATCTTCCATTCGAAACGCAGAGAAATATGCAAGGTTAAGCGGACTCGTGGGGAGAAATATTTATTTCCTTGTTGATCGATGTGAATGAAGTGTGTGAGGCAAGGCGACTCGTTTTAAGCTGAGGCATTACCATCTTTGGTATCGGTGAGTGGAACATTCAGGTTCGAAGCCCTTTGAATTCAGAGGAACTCTCTAGCATAAGTAAATGCAAGATCTGAAAGATGGTTATTATAGACGGCTTAACTAAGACACCGGTTTGCTAGCAATCTGATAATTGTTGCGATGCTGTTTTTGCGTTGCTGCAAGTGTGGTGGGAAGCCATGGCGGTGGCAACGTGTGAGGTATAGTGAAACAGGGCAGAGCGGAGCAATCTCTTTCCCCCACTGGTGCTTACATATACCGTCATTTGGTCTCTTTTCTCTCTTAGTTTATTTCGTCTATTTCCTTGTTTTCTGTACTGTGACTTTGCTGAACTTTAATTCTGACACGTTTGTTCGTCTCAACTCCATCTACAATGTCTTCCAACTGCAATTGCTTTTGCTTTGGAGTTTTGCTATCCAATTATTATTATTTTTATTGTTTTCTTCACAATTCCAGCTCAATAACGCTCTTTAAGCTTTGTTGTTTCTTTCTGCAATCCATCCTAACTGCATTGCTTTTTGCGTAGGGTGGATCCTTGTTGCCAGGTGCTCGGTGGGAGGTAGAAGCAAATATGTACGGTTTCGTCTCTTTATTTTCTGCATCACCGAAATACTAGGCTTCAGAACGTATGGTATATTTGTAATGCATTTCTTTTGTACATCATGGCGACAAGGGCTTGAAAGGAGAAGAAGGGGAATATGCGGGCCTTGGTTTTTCACTCCACTAGTGCCTCATGACCTGGCATTGTGTCCTCTCTGGCAGTGTTATGCATTGTTTTGCAAGGCAGTATAGAGTGGGACCGTGACAGCAAATACTGAATGAGATTTAGGAATAGGGAATCGCTTCATTCTCTTTTCTATTCCTTCAGTGGTGAAACCGATGGGCATGGGAGCTTTTGCTCGTTTACTGTAGGTCTTGTTTGAGGCAGGTCGCATGATGCTCTGGCACGTTTCCTGTTGTGCAAATTTGGCAGGCTTTCTGTGACTGCTTTCCACCGCTCCTTCTCAAATATCTATTTTTTCATTCGTGTGCACCGCTTTACCTTTTTTGCTTGGTAGAGCACAAGGTCCACGAATTACGCCTCCCATCTTGCCTTCTCTCTCATTGCGAGCAAATCCACTAAAGTTAGTGCTTGACCTCGTCAGTGCCTCATGGAGCTGCCTTTGCCTCTGTGAAGTTGCTCTCGGTGAAATATACGATTGTTTCGCTGCCAAGGCAGTCGCAAATGTAACTGTCCCCTTTTCGTGCTGCTGCATTACTTGTTAAGGTATTCAGTTTTAAATCCGTATCCTATTTGGTTGTCGTGCTACTCATAAATTTATCAAATTCTCTGTTGACGGACAAGCATTTTTCGCAGACAAATAGATTCAAACACTAAAAGCTTTGCCTGGATTTGTTGGTGATTCCCATCATCTGTCTTGTAAGTGCTTGCTCCAAATTAATAAGTAGGATTTGGTTTCAAGGGAGTTCCTTCATTTCCCCAACACGAGAAACCGCTTTCCTGTAAAATCAGTCGCAGCTCAATGTACTTTTGAGGCACTGCCACCTTTTACCAAACCAGCCCCTTCCAGCACTTAAAGGATTGTCGTGATGGATTGTTACTGTATAAAAGTGGTGCTTTATAAAAATGGTGCTGCATTCATCATTTTAGCAGGTGTAGGCGCAGCCTCACCTAACGTGGCGTCGAACTACAAGGAGCCAGAGACCGGTGCTCTATACCCTAATGGCCAGCTAGTGGACTCTACGGGGATGAACAGCGACCTTCTGTGCAATGAGTACTTGGCACACAGCACAGGTCAAATCTAACAGCCTTATCTGGTCTGGATCGACCTACGATTCACATTCTAGCGATCGCAATAAACGTAAATAATATATTATTTCTCAAAGTTAACATAGTAAATACCACCAACAATAAATTTGCCACAATCATTCAATGTTATCTTCGCAATTATTGGTAGGGAATTCCACCTTGTTCCAGGATGTTTTACGAGCAAATTCTCACGTGCCTATACGCCGGTGCCAATTATTCCCTGGATCTGTAAAACGACAAGAACTGTAGTTAATTGCATCAATGCAATGACAAGTACAGTTGTCTAATCTACTGGGCAGGAGAGGAAGTTCTCGTGTTTTCCACCTGTTGGAGTTGGTAGGAACTTGTAGAGCGCGTCCAGGTGCCCCTTCAGTGTGGGCCACTCGCTGCTGTGTTTCGTGCTGTTTACACATTTTGAGGCTCTGGTATTAAGAAATGGCATTTAAGCCCAGTGGCTGTGTTTCAGGTTTAATTACTACGCAAAGTGAAGCCAACTGCCACAAATTCTGCACCACAGTGTTCCATAATAATGCCCTGAGGAATCAACTTGAGGAGTCGGTTGTCTTTTGAATACCCAGTAGTAAATATCCCGCAGTCAGGGTAAGGTAAGAAGATAAAGACACACGGAAGCAATTACTCATCACGTTGCAATGTGTGGGCATAACGGACTCGTTCTTGCATCAGCAACAAATTGTTTGCACTTAAAAGAAGACATGTTTTTAGGTAATGACAGAAACCCTTATTAGAATGGGAAGGAATTAATGACACAGAATTAATTTAGAAGATTTATTTTTAAGCGTGAACTTACAAGCCCTAGATTGGTTGCAAATTTAAAGCGCCTTCTACTAATAATTTGGAATAGTTTTAGCTATAAATTGTTGGAGGTTAATATTTTAATGCATATATTTGGGCATGAACACAGAACTGTTAAGGGAACTGTCATTTCGCTCTAAAAAGCAATAGAATTTACCCTCATTTAGATTTTATGTGATGTCTTTTTTGTGTGCTGACAGCGCATAGAAAAGAAGTGATTAAGAGTAGCAGGTGTAGTCCAGGGTATTTTACATGCACAGTATTTGTAGTAGTATATGCAGGTCAAGGCAGAAAAATCAGAACAAACTAATAAAGCATCGCTGAATAATTACTTGCTGGTCGCTGTTTTCGATATTCTTACTACTAAACATTTACTCCGTAGCATGCTAAATGACGTTGTCACACATTTAACGTGGCAAAGTCTAAATTATCGAGGTCATTATCTGTTAATTTATAACTTCAATATGAATAATGCAAAATCAGACATAAAAGTAAATATGACAAAATTAAAAAAAATTATTTCTACACTTTGTGCATCTACTTTTTGTTAAACAAACGCTAGTTGGAAGCATTTGTGAAATGATAATATGAATTTTGCCGTAGCTAAGAGAAATGAGGATCTGCAGATGTCTGCAAATGTTTCTGCATTATCCGGGTGACGATGCTTGCAGCATACTTTCCTTAAGGCACAGGGTTACTGCAAACTACAATTTTCCCTAGCGCCATGTTTTTTGCTAGAGTGTAAATGGATTGACCTGGGCTCTATCGAGTTTCTAAACAGGTTATTAAGGAAATGAACATCAGAAAGCGAGGTCTTTGATGCTGGTGCACTCCGCCTCACTTAGTTCTATTCTCTTACCTTCTA